TAGGTTAGGTTAGGTTAGGTTAGGTTAGGTTAGGTTAGGTTAGGTTAGGTTAGGTTAGGTTAGGTTAGGGTAGGTTAGGTTAGGTTAGGTTTTGTTTAGGTTAGATTAGGTTACGTTTTATTTAGGTTAGGTTAGATTTTATTTAGGTTAGATTAGGTTACGTTTTATTTAGGTTAGGTTAGATTTTATTTAGGTTAGATTAGGTTACGTTTTATTTAGGTTAGGTTAGGTTTTATTTAGGTTAGGTTGGCTTTTGTTGTGATACCTGACACAAGATGGCTGATGGCTGTGTTTTGGGTTATTGTACTGTCATGGTAGAAGTTTACCGACATGTCAGAGATGCTTACTGCCTCAATCTTTAGAGTGATGATCATAGGGCACTGCTAAAATGAACAGAACCAAATGTAGATGGCAGCAGGTGACTGTCACATTTATGCCTGCCATAACCTCTCCTACTACATCAATGATATGAAAAGTAGCTAAAGCCCCCAATAAACCATTAGAAATTAATTATTACTGCTTTATGTTTTTGTTATCTGTTAAAGGTGTCATTACTGAGTCTGAAAGATAATGATAGTGCACAGATAATTTTCAAACTAGGTTATAAACTTGTGGATAATTGAGAGTCTAGAATTAAGTATCTCTTGAAAACCATAATACAGTAATTAAAATATTATAAAATGTACTATGAATTTTGAGTTTGTATTTTATAATCCTTGTTTAGAAACAGTTAAATTATTAACTGATAGTTTATGCTCATTCACACATTTGACATGGAGAATAAATTAATATATCATTTTCTGTAAGGAGTCTATATACATCAGAGAGGAATCAGAATACAGGTCACACCTAAGGCTTGTAAAATTGATGAGGATATCGAATTGCCTTCCTTTAAAATGAATTTGTATTAAACTATGAAAAGAGAAAGAAGCATTTTTATAATGTTCTCGTCTCGATTTCAGGGTAAATTCACAACCAAGAGCGACGTTTGGTCATTTGCAGTAACGCTATGGGAGATTCTCACGTTTGCACGTGAACAACCGTTTGAAGATCTCAGTGATGAGAAGGTTGTCGAGAATGTAACACACTTCTACCAGGATGATGGACACCAGGTTAGTATTTGGTCATTGGTTCAAGAGCAATATGGGTTTTATTGATTCATAACTTAATTTATAGACAGGCTTGTTGTAATTGTCCTGCACCGTCTGAGGCATCATGCTTCGGACCGGCGATACGGAATGCGCGCTGGTTCGAGTCTCGGGGGAGAAGAAATTTTTTCACGAGCTTTCGACCAGTGTATGGGACCGGTGCCAACCCAGCATCGTGAGGAAATTGGGGAGCTACAATGAGTAGCGTAATCCGGTCATGGAAACTAGCAATGGCTGGGGGTTCGTCGTGCTGACCACACGTCACCCTATATCTGGTTGGATGATCGTTCACCTCTGCTTAGGCATGTGAACGTGAGGCCAGCAATCAAGCTAGTGGGCTTTGGCTCTCTGGAGCTGTTACGCCACGGATTTTTTTGTGTACATCTTGCATCTTAGTAGGATTTAAGGTTTGCGTCGTGTTATGAAGACGGCTGTCCTCTGGGTTCTGATGCCATGGAGACTGGGAGAAATTTACTGACGTTTCAGAGGTGCTTGCAGCAGAAAATCTGTGTTAGTAAACTTCTACCAGACTACGCAGCAGAACAACCAAGTGTACAGCCATCTTTATTGTACCAATTGATAGATTTTCATTAATGTGCACTGTTTATTTTTAGGTGTATCTGCCAGTGCCAATAAACTGTCCGAAAGAAATCTATGACCTGATGTGCGAGTGCTGGCAGAGGAACGAGTCCGACAGGCCCAACTTCCGAGAGATTCACCTCTTCCTGCAGAGGAAGAACCTCGGCTACAAGCCGAATACGGATTGACGATGGATGTTTACGACAGAGTATGTACGCAACCTCACGGCACTGTGGGGGAGGACACAGGTTTATCGTGACGTAGTTTGAGTGACTACTGCGGTTAGGATTTGCCCGTATCATAATAATATGGTATTTTTAAGAGCGATAAGTGTGGGATCTTGTAAACTTAATTTTTTACATTATACAGGTTTCTTTTCATTACAGCTATAAAATTATCTACTGCTCTTTATCACATGTTAATAACGGCACAGTTTAAATACAACGCTATTTAAAATATTTACAAACAGTGGAAAAGTGAAATATTAAAACATACTTTTGACTTATATATCTGATCAAGGATCGCTGATTTTGTCAGAGGACACTCTTGAAATTTTGCGTCATACAAAAGCCATACGGCGTAGCGCAGAAGGCAAGGAAGAGGCTGCGAGTACGATCCGTGTAGCTTATGTTAGTGTTCGGGGTGTCTGAGGTTCACCGCTGGCACTCCTCGGTCAAATGTTATGCGCCGTGTTCGTTCAGAAGAAATTACTGTGCCTATTTGATGATAACATGATTTGAGTGACAGTTTGTTAGTTAGGATCGAGGTAGTCGTCGTCATCGTCACCATCATAGTGAGAGTAGATGTTTCTATAAAAGTAGTCGACTGCTTCTGCGGGCACATTTTTGTCATCGAAGTACTTCATCCTATTTCCTCTTTTCGTATCCAGTGGCACGACAATATATTGGGCTGTCCAGGGCAAGGCATGTCCTATTTTTAAATAATGAAACATAATAATAGGTTAAATGCTCTTGTAAATACAATATTTTTAACAGATCGGTATTAAAAAAGTAAAAAATCTTTATACAGTGTGTCCACAAAGTCCCTTTGGGGGTTTTGAAAAATTGTGGCATGCAAACAAATTGAGCTAGCCATATGCGGTTTGCGGCAGATTACAGTGAAACTCTGGAAGTTTTTTACTGACCTCAGTAGACCTCGATGTGGGCTCCCTTGGTAGCACGGAGAA